TTGAAGGCAGTGACATTCGACATGCTGGCATGAGCCCTTCCAGGTCTCGCCTTTTTCGGCCTTGGTTTAGGGTTTAGGGTTTAGGGTTTCCTCGCTTCGCATGGGCATCGTGAGGTTCAGGGATTGGTTTGGAAAGGCTCCGGGCTCAGGACTCGATGTATAATTACCCATAGGCCCCTAAGTAATTCCTTTTTGGGATTACCTTATAGGATTCTGAGCATAAACCACAAAAAGGAGCTACTTAGGGGCCTATGGGGGGAGGTATACACTTCGCAGGATGTCGCGCACCTCCTCAGACCTCACTGGCCCTTGGTAGGAAAAGCTCCGAATCTGCCCCAGGGATTCCCGAAGTTCGTGGTGAACTGCAGCTCCCTCCCTGGTACACCGACCAGGCTGTAGACGGCAGAAAGTTTCATTTTCTTTGCGGGGAGAGCTGTTTAGGATTATAGGGTTTTGGGTACTTGGGTTTGGGTTTAGGGGTTTAGGGTTTAGGGTTAAGTTTGGGTTTAGGAGCTCTCTTAGAAGCGAGATTCGCAGGGTCAGGACCCAAGGGATGCGTGCTGGTGCAATCGAACCTCGAGCCGCAACCGTCTTACTGCTGTCCTAGATAAAAACTGCAAAATACAAAATACTATGTTACTATATGCCATACTTTGTTATGCTGTACTATGCGTTACGACACTAATTCCACGACACTACATATGATACTCTACTGTACTGTACCAGTACTATACCCTCTTGATTATTTTTTGGATCTTTCGGGGACTCCCCAGAGTTCCAGGTGCCCGGCGTCAGGCAGTTGGCAGATGCTCCCTCGCAGGGCCAGAAGGCAGGGGGCGAGACATTCGCGAAGTTTAGAGAACTTTCTTTCATTTCTAAAGGAGGCAAAGAATGAAGACACGTTTGGACTGATATGGAGCTTGGGATGGCATGCAGACACCTAAACCCTAAACCCTAAACCTTGGAGTCTGCTGTTCGTGCCTTTCAGCGAACTGTTCCAGATGTCAGGAGGCCAGCGCATCCGCTGCAGAGGACGCCGAGTCCGTGAAGGCAAAGGAGCGGGTGACAATTGCACCTGCCGGCGGTCTTGCGGGCTTTTTCACTTCGAAAAGCAGGTGCTGTAGGACTTTGGCGGGTGTGAAGGCTTAGAGGCTTAAAGCACCTGGGCGCCGAAGTGCGAGATGAGTTGAGCTGTAAGACAAACTGATTGCGACGAAGCGCTCTGTTTACTTAGACTTCATCGACTGTATATTGGCACATCCCCCCGATGTCCTTTGCAGAAAAGATGCAAGGTAATGCAAAACCTGACAGGTGCGCGGCCACCAACGCTTTTAAGGTTTACGGTTTATATACAGTAGGTGTCATCATTGTTTATTGCCAAGTGCCTCGCGTTGTCAACACCGAGTCCCGGTGTGCGATGGTCTCCACTGCGATTGAAGATCATTGCGTTTGTACTGCATTGCGGAAGCATCTGACACGGTTTATTCCAACATGTGCCACGATCGTCTCAATGCAAAGGCCATCAACCGGTCTTCATGGAAGGGTCGATGTATCGAGCATGACAGGCAAAGGGGTTCCAAGGGGCCCTTTACGGTTGCACTGTCTCGCAGCCGCGCAAGAAGCACAGCGTGCGTTCGTAGGCAAAGATTTTATGGTTGAACTCTGAACTGCATCGATTCATGACGGTGCAGGTAAAGTTTGCCTTGCCTGGCGATCATGCCTGAGCAGCTTCTGACAAAATCCCGGGTCATATGTACTCAAATGCCAGCACCACAGAGTGCAATCAGTGGTTGGCCATGTTCAGAGCCTTTGTGCGGTTACTTAACTATTCCGGTTCCCAAGACGTCCAATGGGAAGACGGTGTCTATAGTAGACTCCAAAAAGTTGGAAACCGGGTTAAGGACAATTAGTGCTGGGATCCCCTATACATTACTCTTAAGGATTGAGGCTGTTGGGTTTCCAACTTTTTGGCTTCTACTATACATGTCTGCGCGAGACCGAATCTGCAAGCTACCGGTAGATTGTACAGGACTCCCTGGTTCTTAGTAGGGAATGGGGGGGGGGGGAATGGATCCCTATGATAGCCCCTTAAGGTCCCCTAAAGTAGTCCCAAAACCCTAAACCCCTAAAACCCTAAACCCTAAACCCTAAAACGCTAATACCCGAAACCCTAAACTCTATAGTAGTCCCAAAAGCCCATTCCTCCATCCCCTACTACGAACCAGTCAGAGGAGTCCGGCGCAAGCTCCGACTCCAAAGATTCCCCGGAAGAGGCCAAAGCCAAGGCCCGCCAGAGCCTAACCCTCCAGGTACCTACTCTATAGGGCCCTAGGGGCTGTAGTACCCTATATAGTAGGTACCTGGCGGGTTAGGGATAGCCTTGCAGAACGGGTTTTCAAGATCGGAAGACGTCTCCTTTCGATTTTTGACGATTTTCAGGTTCGAGATTTGGCTTGGGAGTAGCACGTTCGTCCGAGCCCTGATTACATGGAGAAGCAACTTATGCAAAGGAACCGGTTTTAGACTGACTCCACCTTCAGCAGCCTTGCCCTTCCTTTCCCATGCCGAAGAGATACAACATGGAAGAAGTCACTTCTGCGGTCTTCATGACAGTTCTACATGCTCACGAACCCCTTGCATGTCGTATTTGGGGAGCGTTGCAGCAACTGCAAGCCAGCTGCCGTGTCCCAGTGAAGTCACTGAACATGCAGAGTATGTTGACCCTAACCCCCCAAATACCTACTATATAGAGCCCCTAGGGCCCGATTATAGTAGGTACCTGGAGGGTTAGGGTGAGATTGTCCCAAAGAGTCAAGAACCGATTCTTCCTTCCAGTTTACAGAAGAGGGGAGGGTCGCTGACGTGAGAAGTGGACAAACCTCCTTTGAGTCTCAGTGCCTGCCACCACGCGCTTCCCTAAACCCTAAACCGTGAGGACCCCGTCGAAGAAGGCCCTCCGGCAGTCGACGCATCGGAAGTGACCAAGGATGCCCAGAAGCTTCTCGAGAAGGCGGCTCACATGAAGGGGAAGCAGGGGTTTAGGGTTTAGGGTTCTGGAGGGGCTCTGGTGAATCTGGATCCGCGGTCCCAGCTCATGGCATGTTGAAGACGATCGCCAGAAGACGCCAAAAGACATAATCAGGTGCGAGGTTGCCCTAACCCTCCAGGTACCTACTATATAGGGCCCTAGGGGCTCTAGTACCCTATATAGTAGGTACCTGGGGGGTTAGGGGAAAGCTTCAGGGTGGGGTGAGACGGTCTTGATTTTGTTCGTGGATCTGTTCACATAGACAGGGTCTGTCCCATGGTACCTAGACCTAGCCGATTCTACGTTGAACTAGGCCCTAGGCGGGTTCCTTACATCGATATGGTTTTTGAAAGCTTTCGGCGGCACCTCAACCTTCAATCTCCTCCGAAGCCTCAAGCAGAGGTTGCTGAACTTGACAAAACCAGCAGCTCAAAGCCCGGCATCCTTTGCAAGCCTCGATTTTAGGGTTTAGGGGCTCAGGGGTTTAGGGTTTACAGTTTAGGGAGGGGTTTAAGGCGGGTCCTTGCTGAAAGTGCTGTATCCCAGAGCGAAGATGTGCCAATGCTCCAGGTTCACCAAGACATCGAGCAGCAGGCAGATCGGATTTCGGCCGAGCGCCAGAAGGCAGGGGGGCTGAGGGTGACCACCTATAAGGTTTGGGGTTTAGGGTTTTAGGGTTTAGGGTTTAAGGTGTGTCAGGCATTTTTACGTGAAGGAAGTGCTCGATGATGGCTCTGTGTACCGGGCGATGCCCTTCTCCCCACAGCCCGCAGCACTAAGACCTCGATGACTGCCTCGTCCGTTTGGGAAGGTGAGGAAAACCAAAGGGTTTAGGGTTAAGTGTCTCGGGTTAGTAGGGACCTTATAAAGCCTACCAGCCTAAAACCCAAATCCCTAAACCTCAACCCTACACCCTCCTAAACCCTCAACCCTATACCCTCAACCCTAAACCCTAAACCCTAAACCCAAACCCTAAACCCTCAAACCCCCAAATCCTATTTGTTTCCGTTTCTGCAGAGTTTTTCGCCTTGCAGAGTCAAAGCTCAACAAAAGCCTCTGGGGTTTAGGGTTTTAAGGGTTAGGGTTTGAGGGTTTAGGGTTGAGGGTTCAGGGTTTAGGGTTTAAGGTCTAGGGTGTACAGGGGTTGAGGTTTAGGGTTTAGGGTTTGCAGACGCATCCTTGCATGGGTCTAGACTTTTCGTTCGAACTTAGTTCGCAGTCCGGCCTCAAAGCTCTTAGCCCTGTCGTGAGGTGGCCGATGCCAGCACTGGAGAAGAAGCCAAAGATCTTCTGCAGGATGCCAAGGCTGAGGTGGAATTTCCCAGTTCAGACAGCTGGTGTAGCTTTGACGGAGCTTCAGGGCCTCGGGGTTTCGAGGGTTTAGCAGGGTGCTGGGTTCAGGGTTGAGGGCTGAGAGTTGAGGGTTTAGGGTTTAGGGTTAGCGCTTGGTAGGGTTATGGGGTCTCTCAGGATTTGTGCCGTTTGTTTTTTTTTTAAAAAAAATTTTAATGGACCCCAGAAGAAAGCTTGTCCAAGCTGCTTCAAAAGCTCGGAAGATGAACCCTCAAGCGCCGAAAAGGAGGCAGTCTAGCCATAGTCTGCAGTGGAGTTCCTTCTTTGGTTTAACCAGTTTCAAATCTCCCAAAATAAAGAGCTACAATGGAGACTATAGGTAGAGCATGAAGTCCTAGAAGCTGCGCAGGTGCAGGCCGTGGAGAAGTCGGCGCAGTCGACTGCCGATTCTTAGATTGCCTTGTTTAGATATAGAGCCTGAGAGGCTGCATGACACGTGGTCCTGCGCCACTGCGCGACATTTGACAAGACTAAGTAAGTTTGCGACGAGACGCCTAAACCCTAAGCCCTAAACGGTTGACAAGACTCAGTGTCAGACTCAGTGTACCCTAAACCCTAAACCCTAAACCCTAAACCCTACCCTAAACTCTAAACCGTGATACGTCGCTCCGAGTCCGAGGATCGTATTGAAAGATTGGCGGAGCAGCTGGGAGCTGAGGAGCGGCAGGCAGGGCTGAAGGGGCCCCTGAAGGGTGCCGGGGAGGGCTGTAACCTCGGATCCGCAATAGTTGTTATTGTTATTACTACTATTGTTACTATTGTTATTACTCTTACTATTATTATTGTTATTCTATGATTATTATTTCTATTAATATTACTGTTGTTACTGTTTCTTAGTATTACTATTGTTGTTGTGGTGATTATGATTATTACCATTATTATCGTTATTTTTGTTATGACTATTATTACTATGCGTATTAAGGCCGCAAGTTGGTCTAAGTTGCCAAGACGGCGACTTCCCTGCACGAGGAGACCCGCGAGATCACCGCTACCAGCACCGGGATTCCATGGAATGCCGTGTGGCCCTGTGCGGTCATGGTGCTGCTCATCTATATCTACCTTGGCATGGGCATCTTAACACCTGACTCGATGGGCTACGAGCCACTCGAGGTCGACCGCAGGGATCCGGCCCTGGTCTTGGCAGCAGTGCTTTACTGGGTGGTGATGCCCATCGCGCTGGTCACACTGGGCTTCGGAGCCACCTGCGAGCAGGGTGCGCCTATTTTGGCTTACATCACCTACGGAGTGTGCTTTTCTTTGCACTTCCTTTGCATCTTCTGGGCCATGACAGGCTCATTGAAAAGGAGACTCCACGACAGCACCCCAAAACTCATCTTCATGCTTGGCATGGCGGCGCTGGAGCACTTCGACATGGCCTCGGATGCGCTCTTCACCGGGACATCCGCTGCCTGCAGTGACGAAATCACAGGCTTGTGGCTGCAGTCCTGGCACGACGTGCCAGGGGGCGGTTTCATGGTGCCCACGCTCTCGAAGCTGGGCTTCTCCGGCGTGGCTTTGATGCTGCGCCTCGGTGTCTGCAGATGTTTCTCTTGCTCTGTATTGGTATCCAGGATGGTACCCATAGGCTCCAAAGTAGTTCCTTTTTGTGGTTTATATTTAGGATCCCATAAGGTGTTCCCAAAAAGGAACTACTTTGGAGCCTATGGGTAGATTTGTCCCTTCAAGACTGACTTTGCTCGTCTCAGGTTTGTCACGAACGCTTATGTGCCGCAATTACTCGTGGTGTGGGCTCCGTTTGCACCCTTTGCTGCACTTTCCTTTGTGGTCATGGTCGTCCTATGGGCCAGCTTCGGTTGGGTTATCGGCCTTTCAGCGATCCTGGTGGTCTATGCCTTGGTGCTGTGCAGTCCGCTGGGGGCGATGGAGATGGAGGAGCTGAAAGACGAGGCTTTGCGCAGCGATGAGCACATGAGCATCTACCTTGGCGCCGAGGTTGTGGAAGCTAAGGGGCCCAAAGAAAAACGGCCCCTAGTGATCATGGGCACGAAGTTGGTTCTAGAAAACTTGTTGCAGCTATGGCTGCAAAGCTCCTACCTCTCCCTCTCCTTCGACAGAATGGACAACGACGCCCGCTGGCAGGCGATGGCCTCCATTGGCGTAGGCCTCCTTGTCGCAGGCCGCTTCCACAACGGACCAGTCTCTACCCATAGGCTCCAAAGTAGTTCCTTTTTGTGGTTTATACTTAGGATCCTAGAAGGTAATCCGAAAAAGGAACTACTTTGGAGCCTATGGGCATATTACTGCAGCCTGAGTAATCAATAATGTTCGTTAGGGCTCCTATTCTTAGTGTACCATATACCCCAAACCCCCCTTGTCGCAAACCGCTTCGTAAGCCCATTCTATAGGCTCTAGGATGGGCAGCCGTGCGCGGAAGACGCTTCCTCAAAAGACTCAGTAATTTGCGAGATGTAACCCTAGGTGGCAAAGGCATCCAGATCTCGGTGATCTTGTTGACCATGATGTATGAAGGTGGTAGAGATGCTTGCCGAGATGCTTGCGAAGATTGTCAGGGCTTATCGCTGGGCATGGGTATCATCGGAGTCTTCATGATCTTAGCCGGCTTCGGAGGCCTCGCATGGGTCTTGGCGAAAGTCGTCTTCATCTTCCGGTGCGACTCGCATGTTTGGAACCTTTCCACCGGCTGCGTCAGCCCGGAGATGTAGACTTCCCAAAGGATCAGGCGCCGAAGGCGCCTGTCAGGGAGCTCCCCCAAAGTCGGGGAGTCTCCAATGCACGACGGAGATTGACCTGCAAGTATCGGCGCAACTTCAAAGCGTCCCCACTGTGACCCCAAATCCCACGCAGAAAACCGACGTCTGCGGAGGGGTGCAACCCCAAAGTGTCCATTCTACGATCCTTTCTATCATCCCCTAACCCTCCGAGTACCTACTATATACCCAACAGCTCTATAGTACCCTATATAGTAGGTACCTGGGGGGGGTTAGGATCCCCAAATAGCAGCCTCTGCAGGTGATGTTGGGCGCCGAGCCCGATCCAAAGGCACTGCTTCCTGCCCGGAGCTGATTCCTGCTTTTGGTAGTGGTGGTGGTAGTAGTAGTAGTAGGAGGACTAGTACTTGTCGTACTAGTCGTACTAGTAGTACTAGTAGTACGAGTACCAGTACTAGTAGTGGTGATTGAGTGAAGGACTTTCCAGGCTACAGATTGAGATCAGCAGAGCGGGAAGTTAAGATGTTGGCTATGCAACAGTGCCTTCTTTCGATTATTACTGGGAACCGGTTTCGTGGTGATCTGCGGGCTCGACTCCTCTTCTTGCACCTGTATTCTGTAGTCTTTTTTCCTTCACCCTAAACCCTACATAAACCCTAAACCCTGAACCCTAAACCCTAAAATCGAATCCAAACATCCTGCACTTGGACTTCTCCCAGCTTATGACTTGCAGCTGCAATCCTGCACCCTATAAAGCTTCATCCCCACGGGCTGTAAGGGTTATAGGGTTTAGGGTTTAGGGCTTATAGGGTTTAGGGTCAAGGGTCTAGGGCTTATAGGGTTTAGGGTTCAGGGTTCAGGGTTTAGGGCTTATAGGGTTTAGGGTTCAGGGTTTAGGGCTTATAGGGTTTAGGGTCAATGGTTTAGGGTTTAGGGGCTTAAGGGTTTAAGGGTTTCAGGGTTAAGGCTGGTTTAAGGGTGCAGGGTTAAGGGTTCCGATGTTATAGGGTGTAGGGTTATGGGTTTAGGGTGTCAGGGTTTAGGGTTTAGGGTTTAAGGGTATCAGGGTTTAGAGTTTAAGAGTTTAGAGTTTAAGGGTGTAGGGTTTAGGGGATTAGGGTTTATAGAGTTTAGGGTTTAAGGTTTAGAGTTTGAGGGTGCAGGGTTTCGGGTATAACAGCTTCAGCAACCTTCAGACTTATCATTTGCACAGCTGTCGCCTTGATGCAGCTACTATACACGCTGTGTGGCTTGAGCAAGCCGGCTTTGCCGTTTCGTCCGCAGAGTTTCGCTTCAATGCATGCTGCATAGTGTATATAAGTGACACATCATCCCGGGCCTTTGTGGAGCAATGCCTGAGGGTTACCAGTCCGTGCATCCTGTTGAGAAGGGCAAGTTTGTCATGAAGAGTGAAGGGAGCAGCTTTGCAGCTTACCTTCTTCCCAGCACGTTGCCATCTATGCCCAGCGACCTCTCTCAGTTTCGCATGTGTAATGTTGAAGAGGTGAAGAAGAACTTGATGGACATCCACAGCCAGGCCGAGTTGCAAGACTTGTGTGACAAGTTGGGTGTCCGTCCGGAACAGAGAACGAAGAAAGCGTCGGTGGCTCAATGCTTGGCTGACGAGCTGGTGCGGGAGATGGATCTAAGCAAGGCAATTGAGCATGCTCGGGCTCTCGAATCTGCTGGCAAACTGCAGCAAGCAGCAGCTGCCTTTGGCGCGGCCTTGACACTTCAGGGCGATGTTCTGCTGCAGGGCCTCTCGGCATTGTGCTTCGTGAAGCTATCTTTGCAACAGAACTTGCCGGGGAAGTTAGGCGGAAAGGAGCCTGAGGAGTTGTTGGAGCAGGCCTTGCTTGAGGCTCGCGAGGCTCCAGCGCGTAGTCGCAGCCTCGAGGGCCAACTTCTCCAAGCCCTCAGCGAGGTCCTCTTTGCCAAGGTAAACAAGGATGCCGCAGCCATCGACCGAGCCATAGAAGCGAGGCAACAGGCTCGTGAGATGATCATCGAAGGGACCGTCGAGGGTTTAGGCTGGAAGCTGTCTAAGGCAGAGGAGTTTGCCGCTGCAGCCGCCAAGAACGAGGCCGACCACAAATGGCTGGACAAGGAGGTGCTGCTGCAAAGGCTGCAGAAACTCGGTGCTCGAGCGGAAGATGCGGACTACATCAACGAGCTCTTTGAAGCCTGGCACCACGTGGGAGCAACCGGCGAGGAGGAGCTGTCAGTGCATGAATTCCTGCAGCGCTTCCTTGAGATTGCGCGCAAGCTTCCAGCAAAGCAGTCGAAGCAGTGCGGTGCACCCTGTGAAGGTGGCCTGCCACCTGGCTCTGCGCCGCTAGAGAAGGAACTGGTTCGACTGGTTTCGCGCGATGGGAAGGGAAACTGGTCGGCAAAAGCCGCAGAGATCCGGGACTCCTTTCCGGAGGAGACCGGGAGGTCGTTGGAGGCGCTTTGGGAAAGCCTCGCACCGAAAATCAAGCAGATCGTGGATAAAGATGAGCCCATGGCATGTGGGCATAGCTGCAGCACCTGTCCGACGAAGCATGAATGTCAGGTTCATGATGCGATCAAAGACATCGAAGATCTTTAGCATCCGAAACCTGCCACCCGAAGGGTGAGATTGATTTAGCCACAAGTTTCACAAACCATCACAAGTTACGCAAATTCTCCATGGAAAAGACAGCTCATGAGTTCCACACGCCGTGCTGCTCCCGACCTGCTTTTCGACATGAGGTTGCGATCGGCATGAGAGGGGCTTCCAGGCCTTGTTCCCCAATGCTCCCCTCATCAGCTTTGCTACAGTATACTATAGTGTGTGTGTATATATATTTATATATGCATGACTACAGTATCCTAAAAACACTGTAGTATACTATGATACAGGACACTAAAATCTAGTATGATATACTATAGCCTGCCATCATATACATCGTCTACACTATCGTACACAAGGACCGCGATATACTACCGGCGATTTCAAGAATCCCAAACCCTAAACTCTAAACCCTAAACCCTAAATCAAGCCAGCAAAAGGTAAGAGCAGCTCTTGGATTCTTGCAGCTCGAGCTTCCCCGGATGTCCGGAGACCCGGAGGGCATCGATTCAGCCGGGAGGGATTCTGGCCCTTAGGGTCTATAACTGCTTCGGGATTGTACTTATGATAGTGGCTTGCGGTGATTATGCTTGTAATAGTACATATAATAGTGGTTTAGGGTGATTATACTTATAATGGTACTTATAATAGTGGTTTAGGGTGCCGAGGGAACTGGATGAGAAGCTGCCGAGTTTGAGGGGCTTCATTCGCAGACTTTTCGGCTCCAGGGTTGCTGAGCTGTGGCCGCCCACGCGATGCGCCTGGGATTTGGTCTCCTTCTGCTCGGCCACCTCGGCTTCGAAGGCACAGAGGGGGAAGGGCGAGGGTTTAGGATTTAGGGTTTAAGGTTTAGGGTTTAGGATTTAGGGTTTAGGATATAGGGTTTAGGGGAAGGGCGAGCCGTCAGGGCCTTGAGATGAGGTGTGTTTGAGGCGACGGGGTTTGGAAGTTCGGTGTACAGTGAAAACAAATCCAGAGCTTGCCGTGGCTCTGGACTTCAGGGCTCCATGCTGCCTTGCCTTTTTCTGTGCACCCCGTCGTGTCCGGATCTTCCGAGCAGGCCTTCTGTTGGTGCGCGGCGAAGTGCGCTTCCCCTCCCAGACGCCTGGGAAGGCGATCCCGGGAGGGGGGGAGGGCGGTTGGGGGATCCTTAATTGAGGACTATACCTTAAATTATAGGGGCCCTCATATTCTGATTTAAGGTATCTTCCTTAATTGAGGGGTATTGGGTTCTCTGGGCCTGCCAAGAGCCGAACGTTGCCACGATGAGTTTCTGTCATGGAATCCCCGATGTCCAGCGAAATTGACGGCGCATTGAGGCGTCCGGCCTCAGGCAGCTGGCAGATCGAGATGCAGCAGAGGGCCAGAAGGCAGGGTAGAACAACTCAACGAGCAGAAGCTTAAACAAGAATCACGATGTGGCATAAACACGTCGGAGTTTATTGGGTCGTTCCTCTATGCGAAGTTGTTCAGATTGTCCCATGCCCTACGCGAGAAACGCGGGAGGCCAGCGCCACTTCTGCAGAGGAAGCCGAGGATTCGGTGAAGGCAGAAGAGGAGGAGAGAGAGGGAGAACTAGACTCGCTCCTTCTCTTGTGACACTTTGGAGTTCGGAAGGCTACTGCCATTTAAACCCTAAGCCCCTAAACCCTAAACCCCTAAACCCTAAACCCCGAAACCCCTAAACCCTAAACCCAAAGCCCCTAAACCCTAAACCCACTACGACGTTCAGGAGTCGCGAGGTCTAGGGCTCCAAGGTGTTGATGAGCCCTGTGGCCAGAACCGGTGGCTCTCGGCGCCTTTACCCCACGGGGCAGCTCCCAAAACCCTAAACCCCTGGGCTCCTGGGCCTTCAGAGTGTATTAGACTGTGCTATATGATGCTATTCTTATGTTATATTCTGTTACTGTTGTGCATTATTGCTATTTGTATTATGTATGTGTATATAAATATACAGGTATAATAACTATGCTATATGACTACTATTATATCTATAGCTTTCCAGCTCCCAAACATGCAACGGCTGTTGCTAGACATGGAGCGTGCAGCCACGCCCAGGAAAAAGTGAATTCACACACCCGGCAGTCCATGGAACGCTAAACGCCTAAACCCTGAAACTCCTAAACCCTAAACCCTCAACCCTAAAACCCCTACACACTAAACCCCTGGACTTGTGACTTTCAGTCTTTCGGAAGCCGTCGTTCCAGCCTGACGGTTCATCCCTGGTGTTTTCTACTGCAGTGAGGAACATGGAAAGAGCTACCTGGACCCTAAAAGTATGCAAACTACTAGCCTGGTATAGGGTTTAGGCCATTATTTTACCTACTTTGGTGGGTTTAGCTAGTTTCTGACACCTGCCGGCCAGCAGGTACCTTTTTTCGTGTTACAGAGTTTTGCGCGGGAAGAACTGGCTGCTTCCTGCCATCTGAGCATTCGAGTCAAGACAGTCGTCACCGGCGTCAGAACTAAACAAACTCACATGAATCGACAGTTGAAGAGGCTGCCCCATTCCTGAATTCGCAGAGGAGCCCGTCGAAGAAGGCCGTCCAGCAGTCGATGCATCGGATCTACTCGAGAAGGCGGCATGGCGGGCATGCAGGGGCCTGGAGGGTTTGTGGCGAATCTTGATCCGTGGTCCCAGCTGCTTTGATGTTGCAGACCCACAGCGCAACAACCTTGCTTGTTAGGATGTCTTGAACCCCAGTAACGAAAAGGTCCAAGTGTCCAAGGTTCACGATCTCCAGGAGCTGGCAGACCGCGTTGCTGCTCAAAGCCAGAAGGCAGAGTTGGGCGGGGGGGGGGGGGGGGGGTNNGGTTGGAAGAGTGACAGCCAGTACGTAAGGTTCGTCAACTCACTTTGGTTTTAAGGGTCTAGTGTTTAAGGTATATGTGTTTAAGTAGGGTCGATGTACTCTTTGCTACGTGATGCTATGCCAAGGTGTTCAGTCTTTCCGGGCATGACATGATCCGTTTGTAAACCCAAAGCGCAACCTTGAAACGGCCAGGTGAGTATGTAGCACCGCGGTTGCCTGGTCCATCTAATCGAGTGAAGAATACCTTTGAAGGCTTTCAAGACCCTTAACCCGCAAACCCCTACAACCCTAAGACCTAAACCCTACAAG